AAAAAAAAATCTGTAGTTTTAAACTCCCTAGAACTAGTCTAACTCAGTGGCACATTGTTTATATTTTAACACACAAGCCAGATGTCATTAACACAGCTCAACCCAGAGTATTTCACTGTTTTCAGGAAGCAGGAGATCAGAGCTCTGTGTTTTCCTGCACTGTAGAAGGTAACCTTGATTCCCCAGCTAGCAGAGGCTCTCAGAGGGGCTCTGTGTGCAGAGTATTTCCCCAAACTGAGTAAACACTTGGAAGATAAGCAGCTTTTGGACTATGAAATGTAGCAGGCGTTTGGCTGACACAGCCTGGTGTTGACAGATGCCTTTGTGTCTCTTTGTGATGGACAGAAGACACATGTTCTCCCTGGCATTTAAGAAAGCTGCTGCTTAGCAAAATAAAATGTAAAATTCGACTGAACGGTGCAGCAGTGAGCAGTGAAACTGGCTGAGCAAGAAAAGATTGAGAGGGTCTCATGTGACTGCAGTGAAATGTGTCAGTAACTGCTTTGTCATTATGTGAAATGAGCCTGTGGAAAAATAAATTCTGTATTTTCCAGCTCTGCTGCAATACAAATGCATTCCAGTGGGAATATCCAGGTGTAACTGATCCCGTGCCAACCATTCCCAGCAGGGAGGAATGTCCCTGGCTGTGGATGCCCAAGTGCCACAGCAATTGGCAGCTCTAAACCCCTGAGCCTGCCCCTTGTTGGCTGAACTGGGCTCCTGATCCTTCACAAGGAGAATTTCCTCGTGGTGCTCCTCCTGCAGCAGGGCACTGGCCACAGGAGCTCAGGAGCAGCCTGTGCTGGGAATGGGCTGCTCCTTGGCACTGGTCCCACTGCAGCTTAAAATACACATTTAAATTGTCTTGGCTGTCTTATACCCAAGAAAGCACTTGAGGTAGCTGTTCCAGAGAGGGGCAGAATGTTCCCAGTTCAGGAGAGGTTAAAAATGTTATTCAATGGGTACAATTTCTATCAAATGTGCTTTAGCATACCTTGTAATCCAGCTGTGGAATCACTGTCTGCTAAGGGAAGAGAGCTGGAGACCTGGGAACACACCTGGGGCTGTGGCTGTGCCAGAGGACAGGGACCAGGAGCATGCAGAGGGCTTTACGTTCCAAGAAGGATCTGAAGATAGTGTGAGCAGTCCCCGGGCCAAGCTGAGCGTGCCAGCCCTGGGGAGTGCACAAACACCCTGGAAATGCTGCTCTGGGTGTTGCCCGGGTGTCACGCTGGGAGCACGAGCTGGTGGCAGCGCAGGGACACCGGAGAAGTCTCCATTCACAGGGAGCCTGAGCAGTGCCACCGCCAGGCTGCTGAGGTGCCCTCAGCCCAGCTGGGCAGCCCGGGGCTCCCTGTGGGCACTCAGGGTCACTGGGCACAGCTCTGTGACCGCACGGGGCTGGGAGCCGTGCTGCCACCCCTGCTCACAGCAGCACTGCTGACCTCTGGATGGGGTTGTCTGCAGAGGTGATTCTCACAGCCAGCCCAGCCTGAAATGCATCCAAAGCGCATTCAGGAGAGGACACTGCCCGAGCTGTGCATCCCTGGGGGTGTCTGTGCTGCCAGCTCTGCTTTCTGCCATGGGAACAGTGCCTGGGCTGAAATCAGCAGAATTGGTGTGTGTGGGGGCCTGATCATCTTTCACAAACAGATGGCACAGCTGGAAGGTGCCTCTCATTCAGCTCCCAGAAGATGCCACTACAAATGCTGGGACATTTAATTAAATACTGTGTGTCTGGGCCGGTTCCTCCACGGTGCCAGTCAGAAAATCCCTTTTCCCTTGCAGGAAATGGAGTTTGCTGTAAGTTACTGACCTGGGAGACAGCCACGTGCCTGGCCTGTGTCGTGGAGCCCCCAAATCGTTGGTGCAGGACATTGTCCCTTTCCCTGCAGGGACAGCAGCTCCCCTGGGAGAGCAGCCCCTGTGCTGTCCTGGGCCTGCCTCCCACGCCCTCCCAGCAGGGATCTGGGCCTCTTCCCAGGGCTTCAGCAGGGATGTGTTTCAGATATGTTCCACCAACCCTCCTGAAGGGTTCTCATGGCATCTCCTCACCCTGAGCCAGGCCTGCCATGCTTCCAAACCCTGCTGAGCCAACAGGAACTTCATGTCTCCTTCCTTTTAGGGCTTTTTTTTTTTTTCCACTTTAGAGCCCCCCTTCTTGCCTGGTTCATGGGGCTTTCTCAAACTCAGGGAATTAGAACTACCTTTTAAGGATTAGCCATCTCCAGTGCCATTGGAATACTGCTCACCTGGACCAGAGGACTGTGGAGGTCGACATTTGAAATTCAGCTCTTTTCCCTGAAGAAGTTGAGGGACGAACAAAGTGCCACAAAATTGGTCTTTTCAGGAACAGAAATGCAGCACCAGCTGGTGTTTTCCAAACCAGTTCCTGTCCAGGTGAGTTCCTCAAGGCCCAGCACGGCTGCTGGGGCAGCAGCAGGGTTTTTATGGCTGTAAAGAATTTCCTGACAAACTCTTGTAGGGAAAAGCCCCCTGAACTGCAGACTGAGGCTGTGGCAGCCCCACCAGTGGGGTTATGGTTCTAAAAAAGGTAGGGATGGCTTGGAAGGAAGGCAGGATGTGCCAGAGGTTTGCTTCTGCCACACACACCAATTCCTATCTCACCAGGCAATACAGAGGCTTAGGAACACACCTGTGATTTAAGAGCACTTTATTGTTCTTTAAGGCTACTTTTAAGTACAAAAAAAAAGATGGCCTGCCAAACCTTTTTTTTTTTTTTCCAGGTGAAACAAGGCCACAAAAGAATGGTATATTACAGATTTACAAACACAGAGAGAATCTTTCAAACTGAACTGTAGATAACCTGGCTCTGTGAAGAAGCTTCACCACGTCTCGTGATGGTGAGTTCAGTTTAGTGTCCTTCCACCTCCCCCCAACCCTTTGGCTTTGTGACATTGTTGTGTCCAGCATCTGTTTTACTGGATGTAGCACATTAAATCTTTATTGCCCTCAAATCCATTTACCTATCTCAGATAAGTAAATGTAACCTTGTAAAACAGCTATTATTGAAAATATTAGCTTTAAAAACATTATCTTATTTGTGTTTACAAAGAAATAGAGGAGTCACATTTTCCACAGAGTCCATCTACAGTATTAGTATTGACTGTTATACTGCTCAGTAGCCTGTAGCAATAACAAACAAGTGGCTATTAATGCTAATGCAGTGTCCTCATAGAATAACTGTGTTCCTGCACTTTTTACTGTATTACAGACAAATCTACAACAAAAAAAAAAAAGATCAACTTTTTTCTCCAAACAAACGAACAAAAAAAAAAAAAAAAGAATGATTACAATAAAGGAAAGGGAAAAATTAAATAGCTACATATCATTAACAAATTAATTGTTCCTCAAAAAATACCTACAAATTTCTCTGTACATTCTTTACGCACAGCGTAACGATGGTCTTAAAGTTACCTATATAAAAAAGTGTTCTTTTAACAATCTTCCTACAGAGAGTAGGGTACTGAATGCCAAAGCAAGGAAGCATTGACTACCCAGTAAGATGGTAGTGAAATGTGTAAAACTGGGGGGCTTAGGTGTTGGGTTGGTTTTTTTTGTGGTTTTTTTTTCATTTTTTTAAAGAAAACTGAGCAGCCACCTTCTCACCAAGAGTAAGAGCCAATCTCCCGATCTCTTTCTACCCTGCACCTTTTCCAAATTAAATAGCTTAACTTTAAAAAAAAAAACAAAAACAAAAAAGCATAAAATAAAAGCCACAATGGACCCAATACTGTAACATAGTCCATAATACATCACGTGGAGTTCATCTTCCAACCAGTTCTCACTTCCTACACCGAGCCCATCCTTTCAGGGAGCCCAGTACAAAAACCAAGCCCTGGCTGCAACTGTCCTGGGAAGATGGAATGTACTGGGGAGAGTAGTTACACTTAACAAGAAGAAGAGAAGCTCTTAGCACTAGCACAGCTGTGGTTTTATGCCTGCCTCTACTGCCTAATTTCTAGTTAGTAGCTATTAAAATAGCAAATGATAATAAATGCAGTAATACCTGTATAAAATCTACTGGAGGAATGTATGCTGCGACTTGGCGTAGGCTGATGGATAGGCTTAAAAAAACCAAAATAAAATAAACAAAAGGAAAGATCACCTTTCACAAACTGTAACAATCTGTTGTCCAGCCAAGATCTGTAAGGGTAGCAGTTCCTGCAGCTAGTTCAGGGTGGATTACACAGACTGGGGTTTGGGAAGCAGATCCCTGTGAAGCAGCAGTGCTGCACGAGGCCTGTCCTGAGCTGCCCTCGGTGCTGCTGCCACTAAAGTGAATAGCAAATACAAATATCATAGAGTACAACTGTACCAGCAGTAAGTATATCTAGGGTTGTTACTGACAAAAATAAACTAATTCTGAAGAGAAGCTAATAAGTATTATGATTCTTACTGTCTATACATTAATAGATACCAGCTATTTTTCATAAAACATGCATCGTTAAGCACTATGGAACCCTCCAACCTCAGCTCTATTCTAACAAACTGCAGTGTTTAGGAAAAAAATGCCCGTGTTCTGTAAATTATGCAGTCCAGTTGCAAGCTCTAAGCACCTGAAATCTAAAGAGAGAAAGACCTATAACCTGTATGAGACTTCCCCTTCCAAAGCTGTTTTGCTCTAAGAAAACTCAAACTGATAGAAATGTCATCCTTAAACCCTTTTTTCAGCAGTTTGCCCTCAAAATATTTAGCCTCTTCCAGAAAGTTGCTGTGCAACTTCAGTCCTCCTCCAATAGTGCAAATCATACATGACAGTTCTTTTCAAGTATATACATACAAAATTACTTCACAGAGGGAAAAAAAAAAAAAAAAAAAAAAAAAAGCAATGTAAGCAAACCAGACAAATTCTAGTCTTGAGAAGCTAAGAAAAGCAAAAAAGCACTTGGGTCAACCAACTAAGTGTAATGGCTTTTGTGGATTAGCGTGCATTATTTTTTTAAGGGGCAGCAGATTTGCATCAGAGGTTTCTTTGGTAATTGAGGCAGGAAGAAAAGGATGCTACATCATATGAATCTTTATGAAATAGTTCCTGCTATCGTCTTTAAGGGCACCCTTTTACAAAAAAAAAAAAACAACCAAAAAAACAACAAAGTGAGTACACAAAAACATGTGTTGAAAACTCCCCTCCCCTCCCCAGCACTACTGAAGCACTTGTTCCAAGCTCAGTCAAACCATGCAATTCCCATTGGGAAGGCTGCTGTCCTCAGGAGACCACGGAGGGCGAGTGATTGTGGCTGACCATGTGGGACGAGGGGGACGCCTGGCCCCGCCGCGACGCCGACTCGGGGCTGCTGCCCACGCCGTCCTTGGCAGCCTTGATCTGCAGCCACGTGTCCCCCAGTGCTTTGGCAAAGTGGTCATCCACCGAGCCCGTGATGGACACCGAGTTCGCCACCGGCTCGGGCTCCTTGTAGTTCTTGCCCAGGCTCCTGCGGAAGTGCTCCTCCACCACCGGGTCACACGCAGCGGTGGCTGTGGGGACAGCAGCAGAGGGGCACTCACACCCTGCACCTCATCCTGGCTTCTCTCACACATCCTGGAAAGGCTTGGCTTGGAAGGACCTTAAAGCTCAACCACCCCCTGCCAGGGACACCTTCCACTGTCCCAGGCTGCTCCAAGCCCCGTCCAGCCTGGCCTTGGGCACTGCCAGGGATCCAGGGGCAGCCACAGCTGCTCTGGGCACCCTGTGCCAGGGCTGCCCACCCTCACAATTTCTTCCCAATATCCCATCCAACCATGCCTTCTGGGCATGGGAAGCCATTCCCCTTACCCCATCCCTCCAGGTCCTTGTCCCCAGTCCCTCTCCAGCTCTCCTGGAGCCCTTTTAGGAACTGGAAGGGGCTCTGAGCTCTCCCCACGGCCTTCTCCTCTCCAGGCGGAACACCCCCCGTCTCTCCTAAGCTGTCTCCAGAGCAGAGGGGCTCCAGCCCCCAAAGCTTCTCCCCTGTAGCTTAATGCCCTGTCACTACAAGTCCCTGTCACTAACATGGCCTTCCTCACACTCTTACATACCTGGGAGTGAAAGGGGTGGGCAAGGAGGTGGGAAGGAAGGAGTTAAAATTTAAAAAAACCTAATGGAATTAAACATTTTTACATTTCTGTGACCTGGAACAGGTAAGCATTTATATATAATTGTATTTCTCCCTCAGGCAACTAACAGCTCCAGCTCCAATTCTATGGAAACCTTCTCCCAAAACAATCACACAGAACTTATATTTAAGCTTAAATGGAGTTAATAATGTAGAGTTGTTTAAAATCAGCTCCCAAGCCTGCTAATAGCAGTCAGGTGTGAGGAGACCTCATCCTAAACTGCAGCATGCCAAAAGCTGAGCTCAGGGTTTCATCTTAATCCCCACACTTGTGCTGGGAGCAGTCAGAACTAAATGAATCAGGGGCACTGCAGTAAGTGCTGTAAGACGATTACAGAAGCCTTAAAAGACAGGTTTTGACCAAGAACTGTAGTAATTCCTCAGACTAAATATAAGAGCACGACAGTTTTACAATTCAGAATCAGTACTTGTGCGTCTTAATAAGAATTGTCTTTCCAAAAATACTTGGAACTGTTGGGATCCATGGCACAGCCCCCCTGCTTGATCCTAAAGCAATGCTTGATTGATCCCAAAATAAACCCCAGTGTCATGCACAGACACCTCTTCACCTGACAGGAACAGATCTTTTCTGGAAACATCCAGCCCCATTCCCATACCCACTGGAGCAGCTCTCCTGGGACCAGTAGCACCAGTTTGTGAGAAAACTTTAACATCTGAGATCCCCAATGATTGATTTCTCCAAGAGTGAAAGGGGCTCCTTCAGCTCCCAATTCTAGTTATCAAAAGTATAACGATCTTTATAAAAATAATTTTAAAATTACTATTAATAACAAAATACTAATAATTACCCTGCTATGGGCTTTAGGTTGCTGTCTACATCATGCTGGTATGGTTCCATGGAGACATGGTGGCTGCTGGAGCCCCAGTGCCCTGAGCTTTTGGCAGTGCTGCAAGTAAAAGCTCTGCCCCAGCAGGTAAAGGACTTGCAAGGGAAGGGCTGAGCTTCCCCTGTGCTTTCTGTGCAGTGAGAGTGAACAGGAACAGCCCAGCTTTCCCAGCAAGTACTGCCTGAGCAGATTTCATGAGCACTGCTAATTGCACAGAAGGCACAAAGCTAGAGCTCCCTGTTTGGGTTGCTGTAGCAACTGCCCTCCAAAGGTTTTTGTGCTCCATGCAGAGCAGGGTGCAGGGTCCAGCCTTTGGATGGGTATTTTTGGCTGTAGGAAAGATTTCTGCAACTGCAGCTGAATCACAAGAGTCTCCTGGCCATTGAGAGAGCAGGGGAAACTACAGCTCCTAAAAAAGGAGCGTGGGGGGATCTGCTGGCCCTGGCTGCTGTTTGTCAGCTGGATTAAAATAAACATAATGACTTATTTGTCTGTGGGGGGGTGCTTGTTTTTTGTTTTTTTTTTTTGTTTTTTTTTGTCAAATAAGCTTTTCAAAACAAAAAGGAAAGAACACCTCTCTCTTCCTAGTTCTGCAGCAGTACTTCCAGCTGTGGCACAGGAGGAGACAAAGGGGTGTCCATCATTTCACCTCCTTTTCTCCCTGTCAATATGGGCACACTGGGGACCACTCTGCTCTGCTGGGATCCCAGTGAGGGCAGGCTGGAGGGTGTCACTGTCTCAGGGTGCAATGCAAGGTGTGGCTTTCCCATTTGAGGGGAAGCTCCTGCCTTCCTCAGCAGCCACCTGTCCTTCCCACCCCGGGCAGGCACTTACAGCTGGAGGGTCTCCTGTAGGCAGCCCCGGAGCAGGCGCTGTGGGCGATGGGGCAGTGCGACAGGTTGCAGTTGCGGTTGTTGGCAGAAGCACAGGTGATGACAGAGGGACGGTTCTGAGGGGACACAAGCACAGTGGCACACTCAGCAGCAGCAATTCAACCCACTGCATATTAACCCCCTGAATATTCAGCTGTTTCTTTGATTAAAAATAAAAATCCACATCACATTTCCACAATGGCTCCTATATAAGTGAACAGAAAAAGGGCAGTGTGAAAGTAAATGTTAAAAATAATTTTACACTGATTGTTGCAACTCCACAGCCATGGCAATTAAACCCATAAACTACCCAATTCATATTAAACCCCCAAATATTCAGCTTCTTCTTTGATTAAAAATTAAAAATAAAAATCCATTTTTAAAAGTCCATTGCACTTCCATAGAGGTTATTTCAGTGAACAAAAAAAAGGCAGTGTGAAAGCAAAACTCTGAAGTGATTTTACAGAGATTGTGTCAACTTCACTGAGTTCCATATCAACACATTAAATGTTCATTTCATTCTGTGGCCACATATAGAAGGGGTTTGCAGATTTTCCAGGTATTTGTTGTCTTGGTGTTATAATTTTTACTCACAAGTTGAGTTTTCCTTGCCCTACCTCTGTATTCCACAGTGCATCCTAATCCCCTGCAATGTACAATAAATATGAAGAACTCTGAGCCAGTCTAGACCACAAACCCTTTCTTGTTGGAATTCACCTGCCTTTCCAGCAGGTGAATTAATTTATACTTAATTAACATCACTGTCATTCTCAGCACATGCAAATTCCCCAAAATATCTATTCACAGCTACATTACATTAGAACTCCTCCATCTGTACTTTAAGTGTAACCATAAAATACTCTTTTCAGAGTTGTTTACTATGGACATTTACACAAGGCCCTGGGAGAAGAAATGTCCCAGTTTCTCCAGGTGGCTGAAGGGAAATAACACAGGCATTAGAATAAATTTCATATATTTGATGATGCAAAGAGTCCATTATACTAAGTGCAAATTAAGTAGTAAATAAAAGATTAACAGAACTGATGGAATTTAATTTCTTGACCATTTTACAAAATTTTACCCACAAAAAAAATCACCTACCCCCACACAAGGTCAGTGAGGAAGGAGGGAATTTCCCTTCTTTGGTGGTACTTTAGGCACAGTAAGAGCAAGGCCAGTAAAGTAAAAGAGCTGAGCTTTCTATGGAAGTTTAACATCATTTTTGCCAGGACAAAACAGCAATGAGGTTATTTACATCTTATTGCACTGTCAGCAAAGTAGAAAAAATAAATAAAGAAAAACAGAAGAATTATTTGATTTTTCTGTAAACAGTTCACATGTGGGAGTAATTATTTTTTGTAGGGGTGAGGATTTTGTGCCTCTCAGAAGTGGTTTTTGAGAAAGGCATGCATTTAATTCTCTTTGGAAGAGTATTTTGGAGATGCAGCAGGTGGGAAGTAGAGAGACAGATAAGAGTATCTCAGAAACACACATGCCAACACCCTAAAGAACCCAACAAGGCACCTTGCAGAATCCTCTGCTATGGTTGTGTATACACAGAATATAGAAACTTACATAAAACTATTGAGATAAACTGAGGATTTAGTTACAATCACTAACTACAGCAGCTGAATAACCCTGTCCTGCTGCAAATAAGGTATTTTATTAGAAACAGAGTAAGATGAAATCTCATTCAACTCTTAAAGTTGAAAAAAAAATACCCAAAACAAGGAATTATCAAAGTAGGATTTCTTTTTTTCAGTACGCTTTTTATTTTGTATGATTTCTACTCTGTGCTCTTAGCAAGGCCTTGCCCCAACATCCTGTTTTCCCAAGAAAAATGATTGACATCTGGTTCAAAATGTCAAAGAGAACAGAGAGGGACCCAGGGAAGGCAGAGCTTGGGTACATGGGCCGGTTTAATTCCTCAGTGCTGCAGCTCATCACAGCTCAATTCTCTGCTTTGTGTCTCCACTTGTAGGAGGGATCAAAGTGAGTCTGACACATCAGGAATCTGTTCTTGCCTACAGAGATGGCTCAGCTTCAGCACTTCTGCAGCAAAACAAACACCATGTGCAAAGTGAAGAACAACCAACAGAAAAACCTTAACAACCACTCCAGCACATGGAAATCGGGCATAAAATAATCAAAAAGAATGACTTGGCTTTAGGAAAAGGGAAACAACATTGCTCTGAACAACACAGCAACTGCCTTTGGCTGGCTGAAACAACTGAGATCATCCAGAGCCAAATTCTCCCTTCGCTGTTGTACCCCTTCTGGAGGCTGGAGAGGGCTGGGACGGAGGGGACACAGGGATCACCAGGAGGGGCTCAGGGGATGTCCCCAGGCACTGCCTAGCAGGTGCTGGGCCTCCCGGAACCAACCACTCTGAGCTCCCACTTAAAACACTGGTATTCCCAAATACAACTCCTGCATTCCCAAACACAAACTCATGCATTCCCAAATAAAACTCATACATTCCCAAATATTTCCAAATAAAACCCATGCATTTCCAAATACAACTCATACATTCCCAAATATCCCCAAATACAACACATGCATTCCCAAATACATCTCATGCATTCCCAAATACTCCCAAACAAAACTCATGCATTCCCAAATACATTTCATGCATTCCCAAATACAACACATGCATTCCCAAATACATCTCATGCATTCCCAAATACTCCCAAACAAAACTCATGCATTCCCAAATACATTTCATGCATTCCCAAATACAACACATGCATTCCCAAATAAAACTTGTGCATTCCTAAATAAAAACTCACACATTCCCAAATAAAATTCATGCATTCCCAAATACAACTCCTGCATTCCGAAATATTCCCAAATAAAACATAGGCATTCTCAAATGAAAACTCACACATTCCCAAATGCAATTCATGTATTCCCAAATAAAATTCATGCATTCCCAAATATTCTCAAATAAAACATATGCATTCTCAAATGAAAACTCACACATTCCCAAATGCAATTCATGTATTCCCAAATAAAATTCATGCATTTCCAAATACAACTCCTGCATTCCCAAATACAAACTCATGCATCCCCAAATACAATTAAGGCATCCCCAAATATTTCAAAATAAAACTCATGCATTTCCAAATACAATTCATGCCTTCCCAAATATTTCCAAATAAAACACATGCATTCCCAAATAGAACTCCTGAATTCCCAAATACAACTCCTGCATTCCCAAACACAACTCCTGCATTCCCAAACATACCCAAATACAACGCCTACATTCCCAATCTTGGAATATCACACGAATATCACAAGCTGTGACATCCAGGGTGTACTTTTAACCCCGTGCTGCCCAAGAAGCAGCCTCTCCTCAGCTGCAGCTGCCCCAGGCTGTGGCTGCAGCTGGAGCCCTGCCCGTGGCCCGATGCCAATGCCAATCCCGGTGCCAGTCCCGGTGCCAGTGCCGTACCTGCTGCCGCTCCACGCTGCTCAGGCTGGGGGAGATGCCGACTGTCCTGGCTGCATCCACGCTGTTTTTGGTCAGTGCTAGGGGCTGCTCCATGCTCAGGCTGGGGATGGAGGCGTACATGTGGTTGGCGTGGAGGCTCATGGTGGGGGCAGCCGCCCGCTCGATGGGGCTGCGGCTCCGCTCCCGGTGCTCCTTCCGGTAGTCCCCGTTGGCAGGCTTGGTTCTGGCAGGGAGCAAACGGGGAAAAGGGATTTGTGTGGTTCCAGGATGTCCTGACACCTGCAGCATTCCATCAGCCCTGTCAGGAATGCACCTTGCCAGGGGGAATCCCCCAGTGGGATATCCCAGAGAGAGAAGCCAACCCCACACATCTGCCAGCTTTGCCAACCAGCATCTCTCTTCAGCCTAGAATTTCTTCAGATACTCATCCACATGCACCAAGGAACAACTTTTCCAAACAGCAGACTCCTCCTCTTTACCATACTATTAATCCCACTCCATCTAACTCTGCAATATTCTCTAAGCACTGCTGAAGCCCAAGGAAAGTTTATTTTACTGAAAAGACATGGCTGATATCAGCAAAATTGCAGGGAGTCAAGGCAGGAAGCAACATTTTCAGGGGAGAAAATAAAGGAAAAGCAAACTACATTGCACTAATTTCAGAATCATTTATTTACAACTGCTCTTTCAAAAGACTAATTTCCAGCTACTCCTGAACAGTAAATCCCTGTAGATGTGCTCACATAATGAGCCCATCAGTCACTGCAATGAAAAGAAAGCTGGGTTTATATCTGGCAATGAGGGATTTCAGTTTCCACACTGCAACTGAACTGTCATTAAAGGTAAACCAGTGACTGAAGGGAAAAGCACTTCTCTCATCACCAGGCAAATGTGGGCATCCCCAGCAGCCTGGAGTCAGCAGTGCTGGAAGAGCTCACACACTGCAGTGGGGAACAGCAAATTCCAGCTGCAAAAGCACCAGAGGAGACCACTGGCTCCATGGAAAATAAAAATAACAACCTGTCTTTGGACTGTTCTTGAGTATCAGCGACACACCCTCTGTGTCCTGTCTAAAAGTGTGTGAAATTCAAGGTGGTTTTTCTCCCATTTTTTAAAGACTATCATGGCAAATTAATGTGCAGGAACAATCTTTAAAAAGGCTCTGATGAAAGGCAGAGACAGAAAAGGAATCAACATTCAATGCTGAAGTAAGCTACACGACCAAAAAGCTACTGCTTATTTCAGTGTCTGAGGAAGTCTCTCCACAAGCAAGGCTGAGAGAAAACAGTCCTGACAATCGAGGGAAATAAAGAGCCCCTAAAGCACCTACATGGGGTGTGGGGATGTCCCATGGTGATCCTGCCCAGCCCTAAATCCTTTAGCCTCTACATCCCCTGGTCATGGATTCCAGGCTCTAAACTATGTACTTTTTGAAGTATCTTTTCTTCACAGGCTCTTTTTGTTTCTTTTCAACCTAAAATCCAATGGTTTGGATTGTCCTAGCCCCGACTCTTGAATTAGGAGAGAGACAAAGCCATTGCTCCCCTCTTATCATCTTGCAGCCACTCCCAAGTTCATCTCTTCAAGAAGCTTTTATTGCAGTAATGCTTTCTTCAAATAAAACCTGTATCTTTGTCATCTTTGCAGGCCCTGTCAGTAAGAGCTAAAAGTCACCTCCTTCCTGGAGATGAGGATCCAGAACTCTGCTGCATTCAGGAACAGCACCTTGGCTGAACTACTCACAGTTCTTCTGTGCTATTCCTCAGCTTGCTCCAGAGGCACTTAGCTGTACAGAAATTATTGCTCCTGAATCAAATCTCAGCTCATTTAACATGGTAGAAGTTGGGTTAACATGATGCCAGGCAACCAGTGACTTGGGAAGCTCAGGACACAGGGACTCTGTGCCAAATTTCCCTGGCAGCCTGGGGAGGGAAGAGCCAACAGCACAACAATACAATCTGTAACCCTTTGCATCCCCTTTGCCCTTTTCACTAATTACAAATTAGCAGCTGCAGATTAGGAGAATCCACCGTAAAATCCAACCCTGGAGGTTTCACAACTGGTCCTGTGTGTTCCCCAAGCCCATTTTCCAGGCTGAATTTGAACAGCAGCTCACAATTCCCGAGGAATCACTGTCCCAGCACTGTCCCAGCTCAGCTCCAGCAGAATTCAACCGCAGGAGCAGCCTCAGCGGGAAAGTTTGGAATTGCAACACTCTGAGCTAATGACTGATACAAATATGAGTTAATGGCAGCACAAGGGGCTCTATATTTAACCTACAGTAGCTCCTCTTGGATTACAGCATGGAAACAGCTCCTGGACACGGGAATGATCCCACCCCAGCCCTGAGCACGCAGGCAGGAACCTCACACACAGCCTGGACAAAGCCTGGGATATCCTGGGAACCAGCAACCCCAAACACCACCCAAAATCACTGTGCAGCAAATGCTCCTTCTTGGTACTGCAGTGCAGAACCTCTGGGGCTGCAGCCAAATTCTCACTTTTCAACTATTAGCTGGGCTACTACAATTAAAATTACAATTTGGAAGCTGCAAAACCACCAACAGCTCCAAGAGATTCCTACTTCTCACTGCCTGGAACAGAATCTCTACTCAGAATTATTCTGTTTTGTTTTAGTAAGCACTAGCCGATTTTCAAAGCAAAAGTTTTGTTTACCCCCCAAGAAATGCTTATGACATGAAACAAAACATGTACCTACACCAGTTGTTTGGGGATTTTTGTCTTAGAACTCCCTTTTCAACAACTTCGTGTTGCATTTACTGGGGGGTGGGGCTGTCAAGTGACCACTGAGGAACAAACTTACTGAAATTCCCAAGCAAAATAAACTTTTAATTTTATGCAACAATGCTTATTTCACTCATCCTCACTTTAAATGAAGAGTCACAGTCCCAAATATTGTTGAACTGGCAATTTTTCTGCCAAAAAAACACCAAACCAGCAACAATGACAACAACAAAAAAACCCCAAACAAAAACCCAATCCTAACAAAAATTATAACACAGAAAAACCCATCAAAAATTTTCCCTGAAGACTTTTGGAAGAAGAGACCAAAAACTGGGCAATGGAATCAGCTTGTCTCCAGGAACAAGCCCAGCAGGCAGACCTTCCCTAAAGACACCTAAAATTATTGAGTTATCTCAGCAATCTCAGCAGACCACACCCCAGGCCTTTCTGTAGGCAAATAATTCTCTCTTCTTAAATTAGAACAACTCCTCTTCCGGGCAGGGAACTGCTTATAATCCACTCCCTAAAATCCTCTCCTCAATTCATCCACCTTCAACTCATGGTGTCTCTGGAAAAACTAAAAAACACCTGAAGCTTCTACTTCCACATCAGATAATATTTCTTCTGGAAATGTACCAGCGCCATGTAGGACAGTACCATGAAAGCTCCGTCCTTGTGAAAATATGGCAGCATTTGTGAGTCCCTCCTGTTCACACATAAATAGCAAATACTACAGATTTGTCAGACAATTGTAAGATTATTTACAGGGCATTCATCAATTTCATGTTATTAAGTAATTTAGTTTAAAGCATCACTTAAAAAATAATTTTCTATGGAAAATTTGTTGTTGTTATTATCATGCTGATTCTTGTTTTGCTATTAAAGACTTTATCTAAAGGGGAAATCTCAAGATAAGTGTGTGAAGATAATCATATTTCACTGAAGTCCAGGAGCTCAAACAATCCCCTCACTCTGGACAAGTTCAGAGATGCATCTTGCAAGTCAAACATAAGGACCCAAAACCACAAAGAAGGATTTCTGACCAAGCTCAAAAAAGAACTTAGAAATATATACTACAAACAAATCCAGCTGTCCAAACAGCTTTGCCATCCCTGGACTCCAGTTTCTCCTAAAAATCAGCAGATTTTACCAACCCTGAGTCCATGAGCAGTGGGGGGAGGGGATGCCAGAGCAATTCCAGTGTTTAAAATCCAGCAATTCCCATGGGTGAGCCCAGAGCAGAGCCAGGCACAGGGATCCATGCCCACCACCCCATTCCCTGCTCACACAGCTATCCCAGCTACTTCCAGCTTTATTTCAGCAAAATTAGACACGATCCCAACCTCCAGCGAATGTCTCCAATCCTTAAAACCCGGCCATGCTTTCCCAGCTGCTCCTCAGTGAACCAGAGCACTTACCAAGCATCCTGCGCTGGGGTGGCTGTCCCCAAAGCCCCAGCCATGGCAGAGGGCAGCTCCAAGGTGGGTAAATCCCCCTGTTCCCAGGATTTGTGCCGCAGAACCTTCAGCCCAGGCTGTTCTGCTGGCTGGCACCGCCAGGGGGGAATTCACAGCCGGCCCACAGCAACAGGCGGCCCCTGCCAGCTGCTGCAGGAAAAGGGAAAAAAGAGGCCCACGAAGGGGACAGCGCTGCCTGCACTCACTTCCAGCCTGCAAAGCCCTCAGGAATGCTGCCAAAAGCATTACTGTACCTCCAAGGCAAGGAATCACAGACGGTTCTCGCTCCCTTTGGCAGAACCGCAGCGCTGGCTTGAAATGGAAGCTCCAGAGTTTCACTCACACAAAGAACAAGCACCCCCTTTTCTTCACACAAACACAATGCCCTGCTGAAGAGCAAACTTTCATTTATGCAACCTAATTCCGACACGATCTGAACGTTTTCAGCATCTTTATGATATTTGTTTTCCATCATTTTCTAGTGCCTTTATTCACTAGGACTGAAAGAGGGCAGCTGCTTTTGTTAAAGGCTGCTTAAGGATTTCTAACCCACTGATACAGAATATCTGCTCCACATGATGAGCATCATTTCCTGCAAAGTATCTACTTGCACACTTTAGTTCTGTTACTGTGAGGTAATTCTGTTACTGTGATGCAAATCTAGAATTTAAAGTGGTATTTGAAATACGATTATATACATCCAGGGAGAAAATTCCTTAAGAGTTCCTTACTCAGAATTAAGCAAAACAAATTCACTAAAAAAAAAAAAAAAAAACAACAACAACAACAAAACAAAAAAAAAAAAAAAAAAACAAAAAAACCAGCAACATTTTGCTCTGAGTCTCAGCCAATTATCTGAAGTATTCAGAACATGAAAAAATACTCCAAGCAGCCCAATGCCCTCCTGAATGACTGTCATCTAAATATACAGCCCCACTGCATCCCACTTTACCAGCCATGTGCTTCCCAGTTCCTCTGAACAGCCTTTTTCTTTTCTGGCTCAGTACTCCATCCCAAACCT